GTGCAAACGCTTGATGATATTGTAAATTGGGGCAGTCACTATGGAAAAGAGTATGGAGTTTCCTTTAAAAATTAAAAATACTACTGCCATATGATCCAGCAATTTCATGTATGTATTTATTTGAGGGAACCAAAAACACTAAATTGAAAACAGATACACAATCCAATGTTTACTGCAACGTTGCTAAAAATTGCCAAGGTTTGGAAGCTAAGTATCCTTTGACAGACAAGAAGATCAAGAAGATGTTTTATATATATATGACCTTTATTCAGCCATAAAAAATGAAATCTTTCCATTTGTGACAACATGGGTCCTCAGGGGTATGCTGCTAAGGGAAGTAAGTCAGAGAAAGACAAATGCCACATGATCTTACTTACATGTGGAATCTAAAAAGAGAAAACAAAGAAAACAAAAGGAAAACAGTCTTGTGCAGACACAGAAAACAAATGGTTCGTTGCCAGAAGAGAGGTGGGTGGTGGTGGGGTGGCAAAATAGATGCAGGGGTGTTAGAGGTACAAGCCTCCAGTTATGTAATAAAGAAGCCAGGGGGTGTACTTTACAGAATGAAGAGTATGGGCCATAGTATTATAGCAACTTTGTATAGGGACAGATGGTTAGCAGACATCCTGGTGATCATTTCATAAGGTATGCAAGTATCAAATCACTATGCAGTACACCCGAAACTAATATACTATTGTACATCAACTACACTTCAATAAACACTAAATTCAGAAAAGGATGAAGGGGCATATTGATTAAGGGGATAGTAGCATAGAGTTTATGAAGACTTACATCTTGCAAGATTCGAATATTTCTCTGGTTTTTATATTCTTTAATTTGTTCAAATTATTTTTACTTTAAAATCAAAAATACTTGGTTGTATTTTTCAGTTTAAACATATTTGCACTTGACCATTTGATCTCTATTCTTCATACAGAGAAAATTTCATGTTCTCAACCACCTAATATAGACCATGGAACCATTCAATCATACAGCTCTATAGAAGAAAAGGGAGAAATATTGGAACCCAGGGTTTATGCACATGGCACCAAGTTAAATTATACTTGTGAAGATGGTTTCACGTTATCTGAAGAAGATGGGACAACCTGCTACATGGGAAAATGGAGTTCTCCACCTCGGTGTGTAGGTGAGAACAGTATGCAAACCCAAATTCTGTTTTGAGCACAATTCATTAAAACTAATCACTTGTCATCAAAGTCATGAGACAGAATCCTTTAGATTTCTAAATATATAAAATTATGTATATATCATGTATATATTAATATATAATTTACATATTTATACATTTTACCAATTTTTTCATAATCAAATCTGTCTTTGCTATTAATTTCCTTGGTTCAGTGTAGAATCACTTTTAATTCTGGAAATTTTGTTTTGTATTAATATTGGGTGTGTAGTAGAATTAAACCTATTCATATAGGTCAACCTACTTATATCCCTGAAACTTTCTCGTATAAGTTACAGTGTTTGGGTTGCCACCAGGTTTTCAGAAAGTTTCTTATGTTCTTCCTACAATATCCCTTTTAATTTCTTACACCATAGAGTACTTCTCTCATGATGATGAATTGTGTGTTTCCTTTTATTACTCATAACTGGTTAGAAAAGCACTGATGGTCTCTTTCATAGCTACACTGGTATTTTCCGTTTGAGTTCCTGCTCAAGGGGACAGCTGGGCACCCACCAGAATGGTGGTTTTAGGAAGCGGTTGTGCACCTTCTCTGTGATGTGATGGAAGCTCCTATATAATCATTTATTTTCAATTAAAACCACCAAATGTGACAACCAGTACATCAAATTAAATTTCAGAGTTTGTGAAACATGAAGTCATTTTTTTCATTTTTCCTAGGACTTCCTTGTGAACCGCCACCACCTTCGATTCCGAATGGTGTTCTCTCTCACACATCAGACAGTTACCAGTATGGAGAAGAAGTTACATACGACTGTGTCAAAGGCTTTGGGACTGACGGACCTGCATCTATAAGGTGTTTAGGAGGAAAATGGTCCAATCCACCAGAATGCATAGGTATACTGTATCTAATTTATTCTAAGGCTGATAAATACCTTTAATTCAGAACATAAGTGGTACAAATATGAAACTTGGCAGTAATGCTAGAATTTAGCAGCTATCTCTGGAAAGTTTGGGACTCTAGTAGAGAATTAATAACCCTGGTAATAAGAAAAGTTTCATAGCATCAGCTCGCGTCATCTTGGGTGCGCTCTCAGCATCCTCTGCTGTGTACTCGCAGAACTCTAAGCGCTTTTCCTGTGTCACAGCTGCCCTCTGCTCACCAATCTCACCACGACTCACTGTACTGTTAGTTTATCAGTCGTTCTAACTATACAGTTTTCTAAGACACTTGACATAATTCAAGGTAACAGATTTCAATACAAGCAAAAGGATTGAAACAAATACATAATGTAGGTGGCCTGTAATGGGGAAAAAGAATTTGAAGGAGGGAATTATGGCCTCAGGCATCACATATACACCAGTCTCTTTGAGTATCACCACTCCCATGTTATAGTTTTGATGAATGTAAAGCCTTTCAATGTAATGAAGTCAAGACTTGTAACTTATTTTCTGAAGCTATAAGAAAAATATTGTACAGAATTCATTGGGTTGATATAGACCTATTTTTCTGGAATATGATTATTGGCCACTATGTATTTTTAAAGATGTCCTAAACAAGTACATATTCTTTTTCTTTTAGACACGAGTTGTGTTAACTTGCCCCACTTTGAAGATGCTGTACTCATAAGCAAGAGGAAGAAATCATATAAGTCAGGAGAAAAACTAACTTTTAAATGTCAACTATATTACAAACTGGATGGATCCAATACTGTAGAGTGTATTAATAGCAAATGGATAGGAAGACCAGCATGCAGAGGTACTTTGACAAAATTTGAAAATTTGTTTACTTCAGTGTCTTAAGTAATATAATACAGAAAATTGCCTCTAGCATCATTAGAAAATGGACATAGGAGACTTTTAGATCTGGTGAAAGAAGGTTTACGCCTTAACATAAAGGGATGGAATTGTATACTCAGTGGTTAATCATAGAGACCAATAATTCTCAATGTATGGTCCCTGGAATAGCAACATTAGCATATTCTGGGAAACTGTTAGATATGCAAGCACAAACTCATAGGCTCACTCAGACCTGTTGAATCAAACAGTCTGGGATGCAAAGCAGAAATGGCTGTAACAATTCCCAAGGGATCCTGTGCACATTTCAGTTTAGAACCACAGCTGAAATCTATTGTACTTGACGTTCACCTGGATCTCACTGATGAATTATACATTAGTCATCATAGTAGCCTTAAGCATTTGACAAAAATATCATTAAACTGTGTTTTCAGAAATTATACATTTATTTTCTGTTAGTTTTCCACGTCTTCTGTTTGGATCTTTTAATTAATCATCTTCTTTCAGCTATGGCAGTCTTCAAAGCCTGTAAGTCTCTAAAGAAGTGCCTACTGTGTTTATTTTTCTAAGGTGATAAAATTACAATTCATAAACAGATGACTGTGAACAAAATCTGATGTCAAGTGGTCTTCTTTTATGATTTTCTTAAGGTTTATAAATTCCTTCTGAATTGATATAATTTATAATACTTACTTTACTAAACT